CAACTATAGTACCAGATATAGCGAAAAATCTTTCAAAAAATATAATTTCCAGATACACGTGATTGAACATTTTCGAAATAAGTTGCGAACAATTCTTCATTCATGTCTCTTATCTCAATTACGAGAATTTCGAATGACGAATGCAATACAAAATTCCTAATTCTCGAAACACAAAATTTTCCTATGTGTTAGGATAATAGTGTAAGGATTTTGACTTCTGGAGAAACTCATTCGTAATTATTACCTTTCGTTTTATGGGTTATGTTTGATAATATTGATCATGACTGTTGTTATTTTAGTCTTATTACGTGTTTGCTTAATTTCTCCTATGTTTTAAAATTTCATCTTATTTTGTCTTCTGTTACATTTCTGATTTAATCTCATTTAGCATACTTATTTAGTTACATCAATTGCTTGGACCTTTTTATCATTGGAGTTTGATCCGATGATTATAAAATTAGTTGAACAAAACATTACAATATATCGATTTACACAAAAGAAAGCAATTCAAGATATTTCGAAGATACAAAGACCTTGAACATCACTCGATGATGTCATTAAATACTAATGACAATACGGAGGATTTAAAATATTAAATAGAATTTAATAGCAATAAATTGATGGTAAATGATAATTAATTAACTAAATAAAAATTGGAAGCTAATCAACAATTTTCTTCAAAATTAAATATCTATATATCTATAATTAAAAATTATAGACAGTTCCGAAAATGAATGTGTATCACTAGTGGCGACATCTATGGTATTATTTCGGCATCAACCAGAGCTTTAGACAATAATTTATGATCTTGATATATTTCAACCTGTTTTAAAAACAGCTACATAGAATAAAGGAGTACAGTAGCAAAGAAATGAAAAAATTATTTTACGTTTGCACCTTCAACTTTTATATACCAATGGAAATAATTGATTGTCCTCTTAACCCTTATATTAAAAAATTATCGTTACCATGACATTGAAAGTATTAAAAAGAATGTGCATCTTAATGTCGACGATTACGTGAAACGAACACTCATGATGTTTTTATCTCCAAACAACAAAAACACTAAAACGCGAAGAATCGAGTCAAGTAAAGTAATTAGTCTTTATATAAAATAATTAAAATCTGTATAGTCCAAACGAAAATAGAAGAAACATTGTTTACAAATATATTACAAATAATAAATTAGTTAAGAGTCGTCTTAGAGATAGCAATTTATTTAGGATGTTCTAGAATCGTGTTACTTTTTATTGTTTTTAGTAAACAAAACAAAATAATTAAACAGGAAGATAATTATTATAACGATAAAAATAGAAAAACAAAATATTGTATCCAAATCAACTATGATGAATCGAGGAAGGTTTGTTACAAATTGTTATGTGAAATGTTGCAAGTGAGACTTGAGAACGATTTAGAGACTACAATTTACCAGATTTGCATGAAGTTAAAGAAATTTATGACAATAATCTTATAAAAAGTTTACTTTTTACGATCTGATTGTAAACTTCCTTTCTGAGCTCGTTTATTCTTCCGTGTTGCGTTCTGTGTTACTTGGTCTACTTAAAAGAGACGGTGTGATCGAAAAAATAAACGTTAGCACTGTAAGATACGACTTTCTTCGCAATAGTATCACCAGACGTCGCTGTTTCGTATACTCTTAAGATGGCGCCAATGTATTATTGAATATTTGTTATACGTTTTCTGGGAACACATAAAATATAAAAATTTCATATGTATATATGTATGTATACACACTTAGAATACACAGAAGGCATTCACATTCACATCAAAAGGATCAAATAATTAATATTAATATTGGTTAATTTATAATTCAGTATAGTTATACTATAAATTACTACTAAATATGATAATTTAACTCTCGAAATAGTCCCCTATACTTGTAAATATTTAATTTCATAAATGCGACAAATAAGCAACGCACAGCGAACAATGTTCTAGCACATCAGAATGTTGTATACTTTAAAGTACCACCGCGAACATGATTATTAAACACGGAAAAATGAATAAAAGTTCTAGAATAAATACTTTTCATAGCAGAGTTTTTTCTCAAGGGTGTTAGTGGTGGATGAAATAATAACAATATTGGTTTAATAGTTTAATAACAGAACAAAAAATTATAACAGAATTAGTAAAAATTTACTCGCTTCACTCCACGATATAATCTTTGCACGACTCTCTCATACACAACGTCGTTTACTGGTTACTGTCCTCCAAGCACTAACTGTTTTTCATGACTCTTACCATTAATCATACTCGACACACACACATATATTCTTCCACACAAACATTCTTTACACTTATACCAAACATATATACTTAAAAATCTATGTAACCGCTACCACAAAGGGAAACAAATTGGAAATTTCATCTAACGTGGGTTTCCACGTTTCTTAAATTAACGAGTATCCGTATTCCACGAGTGCACGGTCTCCTCCCTCCTTGATAATCTTAGGGCAAAATTCGCAGAACACATTGAGAAAGCGACGAAGGCGGCCAATGACGATAATTCTTAGATCATAATTCCATTCAAGCTAGGAAAGATCCGTGATGGAAGAACGGGACACCGCAATTGTGGGGTTGACGGAAGTAGAAGCGATTTTCAGGGAACTATGGGAGAATTTCCTGTTGTTCCTGCGTCGCTCCTGCGAACGAAGGAAATTTAATTAGTCGAAAAGCTAGCTAGCAGTGCCACGTGCATTCGAACATGTCTCTTGAAACGACGACAGTGAAAGCATGGAACGAGAAGGGAACGAAATGGGGAATGAAGATGTGACGATAGAAATACAATTGTCTGGGGAGAAATAGAGAGAAAGAATGAAGAGGAATAGTATCTAAGTATCGATAAAGTGAAAAAAGAAACAAAATTAATTGCAGATTCACTGAGAGTCGTGAGACAAAATATACAGGGTGTCTATATTATTCGATAAGCACAGGAAAAATGATTCAAACAAGAATCGAATAGCTTCGTGGACATAAAATGGTATTTATGTTTTTTAAATGGTTTTCGTAGATCAACTTTTTTTTCTAAATAGTAGCATATATATTTTAATACATTAATCAAAACAATTTCAATCAATGCATATTAAAAAATGATTTAGTTTAGAAGAAATTTTAATTTGAATATCCTATGTAACCGTTAACTATCGGTTTCTATAAATAAAGCTAACAATAATAACGGAGTAATCATTTTTCAATAATTGTTTAATAATTTTCCAAAATATACAGTGTGCAGCATGTAACAGTCATCACGATTTTTTAGGATTTCGGATTGCATGACAAAATATATTTTAAAGAAAAATTAACGAGTTTTTAATTGGTTACAAATTATAATATAAACAACTATTTCGTACACTATTTTAATAAAAAAATCATGGTGACATTGACTTTTTTAATGACACCGTGTAATTTTAATTTTACAGGATTGTTACTAATAAAAAAATGAATTCAACGACTAACTATACTATGTGATATTCAGATAACCCTGACTTCAGAAATATATATGTCAATGCCTCTTAATATGGATTGTCGATTTTCATAGTAATACATTAACGTATACGTATGAACTACATGCGTCCACTTACAAAAAAGCTAATAAATTACTCCATCCAATCCTTATTTGAATCATTTTTACGCGAAATGAATAGTTCACGAGTAGTTCGCATTTTTTGCTTAAAATTGAATACTCTGTGCATCTACAGAAAACTGATAAAACTTTAACCGATGCAATGAATTTAGTTCGTTAGAGGTGATGAATCAAATTTGAAAGAAAATAAAAATTTTGTTGAATAAATTTTGTTATACAAACGCTTTTGAATTAAGTACATAGGTTATGAGGATACATAGTGATAGTTATTTTTCGTTATAGTAGAAATATTTGATTATTTGAACTTCCTGCATTTTATTCCATATAAAGGGAATAATTCAATTTGCTGTAACACACGTGAACTCAATACCAGTAAGATTTATCAGCATTCATAAATAACCGAAATATATCTACATACGATTTTCTATACAATTTTAAACTGGGAAAAATGATCTAAGAACAGGTAAAGTTACAAATTTAGTATTTAAGGAAGATTATGCAATAGTTAATAGTTAACATTGCTTTGTGAAGTTTAAGAATAATGATTATTTACTGAACGTTTACCAAACTTTTAGACGTATCGATAATGTATTTCTTTGTAATTGAAATATTCGAAATATTCTCTGCATACATGTTGAAAACTTCCGTATAGTGTTCATCAATCTCTAATTCTACAAAATATATTGCAGTTTCCCCATTTTTTCTATGAAATATTACTGAAAATAACACGATAAACAACATAAATAAATAAATAAATAAATCAGAAAATAGAAAAATAACATTTTCAATAAAATTGTAGTACGCGACAAAATGATAGTACCCCTTATAGTTCTTAGTGTTTTGAGCATCCTTAAACCGGTATATGTCGGCATTATTTATAATTTATAATAATTACAAATAAAATTTGATTTTGAAGGAGATAGTCGATGAAGTTTAGATAGAAAATAAATAAATATTTATTTTCCAAACTTGACGTGATAAGCAATTTTAACTGTCAGATTCAGATTTATTATGCAAAAATATGTAAAAAATTTCCCTATTTTTAGAAAACAAAATCTTGATGATCTGTTTTTTTATACCTATGCTATCATTTTGTCGCATCTATTTTTCAAATAAACAAGTGAAATTTATGGAAAAACTGTAAATTATTGTTAATTCTTTTACATACTATTAACAAAGGTATATATTATATGAATACATATATAACAGGGGTGGCCAAGCTCCTTGATAGTCCGAGCCATTTTTCAAAATTTGAAATTTTTCGCGAGCCGCAATTAAATACGTATTTAAAAGGTATGCAAAAAAGGTATTAAAAAAAATTTTTTTACACAAATTATATTTATTGAGAACATATAAATAAAAGTACACATATTGTATTGAATTTAAATATTAAAAATTAAACACATTTATTTACTTCTCTTGATAATTCTTTAAAATTTGGTGAATAATTGGTGACAGCACTTCTCGGTAATTCTTTGATATGCTGGTTAGTTAATACTGATCGGTGTTTGGATTTCACGAATTTTAAAGTGGAATAAAATGATTCACATACGTACGTTGTTCCGAATATTGAAATAATTCGACAAGCAGCCTTTTTTAATTCAGGATACTTCGATTCTGGTACAAATTTCCAAAATTCAGTAATCGACGTCGACTTATATTTTAATTGTAGAGCTTGATCTTCTTGCATCTCTATTAATTCTAATTCTCCAGATGCTTTTTGGGTCATAATTATATTGGAAATGGAAAACTTACCTTGAATGATGTTAATTTCAAATGGATTTAGAAAAAAATCAAGAGACGATTTAAAATATTTCAAGTCTTGAAATCTACTTTGAAATTCCGTCAATATTCCTTCTAGCTTTTTTATATACTCGTTGAGTTTTTCTTGTTTAATATTGGAACAAATTTTTTTAATTCGAGGAAAATGACAAAATGTTTTATTTTTAATGTCCTTTTGAAAAAGTTATAATTTAGTTTGAAAACTAAATATACACTGTGAGAGGTCAGATATTATTTTATCTTTCCCCTGCAATTGTAAATTCAGTGTTTGCAAATGTTCGATGACATCAGTCAAAAACATTAAGTCTTGTAACCACTCGTCATCGTCTAATTCTGAATAGGTTATTTCCTTTTCTTTTAGAAATGCAGTTATCGGATCAAACAAATCCACAAAACGATTTAATACGTTGTAGCTAGATAACCATCTAACAATGCAAAAGAAATTAATGTCATTTGGAAGTTCTTCGTCCTTTAATTCTTCAAGGAAATTTTTGAATTGTCGATGATTTTTTGCATTGGTGCGAATGTAATTTACAATGTGTAACACTGTTTTTATGACATCAGGATATTTTAAATATTTTGTAACGAGAATTTGAGAATCATCTCTTAAAAGCCTAATAAGACCGATTTTTTTACCCAGCATTGCCGGAACTCCATCAGTTGCAATGCTTACAAGTTTATTAAGAGGCACATCAAAAGTTTTCATTATGGAATCTAATGCATTTTTAATATCTACACCGCGGGTTGAATCTCGAAGTGCTGCTAAATCTAATAATTCTTCTTTAACAACGAAGTCAGGTGAAACGAAACGTATGAAAACTGCCAATTGCGGAAGATCTGTGATATCTGTCGATTCATCAAGGGCTAAGCTGAACGCAATACAGTTCTTCAAATCATTTTTTAAATTATATTCAAGAGATGTATTAATTGCAGTTATGCGTCTTTCGGTTGTGTGTCTCGAGATGGGAATTTGCGAAACAGCTTTGTGCAATGCTGCATTATTTGGATCTAAAACTTTAAGTACATCTTCCAAGTTGTTTTTAATAAACTCTCCCTCTTCATACGGGCGTTTTGCACTAGCAATATTCCAGGCAATAACAAAACTGGCTTCAGCCACATTATTAGCTTGATTGTTAAAGGTTATCATGTTTCATAATGTCGACGTAAATTGCTAGATTTATAATTTTTGACCGTAGAATTACAAATAACACATGATGCTTTTCCGTTATTGTCGATAAAAAAGAAATTCTCCTCCCACTCATTATTAAAACTTCTATTTTCTTGCTCGTATTTTTTTTTATTTATTTTCGTTCTCTGTCGTCATATTTTTACAAGAACTGGAAATAAATAAAGAAACTTAGAAAATACAAGTTTTGTGTTATTAAAACAATAACAACATGCGTTACATACTAGGAAACAAATTTAGTTAACTTACCAAAAATTCCAGATTACAAATTATATCCGTATCGAGAGTGATACAAATTGTTTCCTCCAGAGCACAATGTCAACTGTCCGTTGCAATGAAATTTGTTACAACGTTGCACTTAGTCTTTCATATTTGATGTCAGTAATTTAAAAGACACTTTGAAACACATACGGAACGATAATAATTTTTTAAAATATAATAGCACAAAAATGAAAAGGGAACTCGGGTACATTTATCGAGAGCCACAAATAATCCTTCTAAGAGCCGCAGGTTGCCCCCCCCCCCCATGTATAACATTTTTTCATATTTCATTAATCTCAAGATACATGAAAATTATAGACAATGCTATATCGTCAGTTACTATCGAGTACTATAAAGTACGATATAAGAAACGATTTGTTAATGGTACATATATATTTATTTAATAATAAATTAACAGTGATAGAGTATGTGAGTCACGATAAAGGTACGAATTATTACAACTTATCATAACGCTCAATCTACACTTCTGCAGCAACTCTCCTATTACAACTCACAATTATTAGCAACAACAACTCTGGCAACCAATTTCGACAACTCCCAACTCGACAACTCTCCACTGACTTAGCAACTCTCTAATCTCAACTCGACAACTCTCTGACAACTTACCAATTGACAACCCTCTCTTCAGAACGTTCTTGTCCTCTTATATTCTTCATCCCACCATGCACAACCTGCACGCGTTTTCCAATGCCTCCTCAACATGATCAAATATGGTCGTGCTAAGGGCCTGATGCATCGCCCAGGGTTTTTCCGATTGAACTGGCCTTTGAACCCACGGTGACTTTCGTAAAGCTACGTGTACATACAGTGGAAAACTCTTGCGATACTACAGTACATATTTCATATTTGCGTGGTATAAATGATTTTAAAACACACAGCTTCAAAAAATTAAAATTATAAAAAACGTTTTATGCAATAATAATATATCAATATCTGTAACATACAGGTTTTTGCACTACAAATTCAACTTAAATTCATCCTTTTGCAAGTTAAGTACTTCTACATAAATATTTTATTTAAAAAAGAAAAAACATCAAATATAAGATAGCCAGTAAGAAATTAAAAATTTCATTAAAAAGAGGTACATTAAATATTTGTTTGAAAGTAATTACCAATTCATTAAAGTACATATGTATTGCGTACAAGACGCAGGAAATCTGTGATCATGTTGATCAGACAAGGCACACTCTACCTCTTCTACCACTATATTCTCCAATGATGAACCTCGTCGAAGAAGCTTTTTTTAAAATCAAATTTCCTGCAAGAAATATATCAGCTGATCCTTCAAATCGCGAACATTTGATAGATGTAATTAATAACTCTGCTACAACTGTTACTTTTACAAATTGTTATAATAATTATATGAATATGTATGTATGTTAAGTTGCCACAGCAGTTGCAGAGGAATCATTATAGCCTAGCCTATGTATGTCATATAAATTTATCTACATATATATGTGTAATGTACATAGTTAATGTAATAACAAAATATGCATGAAGGAATTGGTAATTACTTTTAAATAAATATCTATATACCTCCTTTTAATAAAATTTTGAATTTCGCACTGACTAATTTATATTTGATGCTTTTAAAATAAAATATTTATATAGAAGTACTTAATTTGCAAAGGGTAAATTTGATTTGCAAAAAAGTGAATTTAAAATGTAAAGCCTGTATTGCAAAACACTGTAATTCGTTGAATAAGGCATTTCACAACCATTTGTATATATCATATGTTGGAATTATGGATAAAAAGAAATAACTATCTGTATTCTATAATTATCTTCATTTTCTCCTAAGGAAGGTATATCTCAAGTATTCTGACTGTTCGCGTAGACAGTCAAAACTAGAGTGATGAAAAAGGGTATGCGATTGCAACTCGTCCTGATCTCCTAATTCTTATGTTCCGCGGTGCATATGGAGTATCCCGCCATGGCATCGCTAAATAAGCCGTGAGGTCGGTATTTCCAAAGTTTATAACACGATCGGAAAGACAGACTATTTTAGAGTTGGGCTCTAGATACATTGAGGGGCTGTTCCGTCGTGGAACAGAGAAGACCCGTTACGGTCTTCCAACAGCCAGGTCTTAGGGTCGAACAATTCGGCATCGGAATTTCCCGCTCCATGCCTTCAGCATGTTTGACTGCTGTACCTTTTTTCTTTTGACTTCTCGTGTCGCGGAATACGAGAATCCTGGAAATCCCTAATTTAACGAAATTAGGCGACGGCTCTTAAGACTTGGCTGACAATAGGCCTGAGGGCTCCACGTGGTCCGCACACGTTGGAAGCCTCAGGCCTTCGCTAGGGGTAACAAACGGCCGATGGGGTCACCGGCGCGCGGGTGAACCCCAGGTACCCCACCTTGGAGGAGAGGGTTTCCTCCACTATCGTGGTTTTTCGGGGGAACCTTCCCTCACTCCAAGGTAACGGACTCGCGGCCCAAGGGAACGCCCTTGGTCGACGACACTTCCAATCGAGCACGCAAGGACATCGGTTCTTTGCAACGACTTCCAATCGAGCACTCAACGACATCGGGTCTTTCCAACGAGTTCCGAACGAAACATCAGAGACGACAGGTCTCTTATAACACGAGACGATTTTCGTATCTCCTCGTTAAGTCGACGAGATACCGTGTCGCGTCGAACCGTCCATCCACATCGGGATATCTTCGCGACTTACAACCGCGAAGACGAATTATTTCGGGCGGAGACCACGCGACCAGGAAGATCAAGGGAACGACGCGATACCCCCTTGATACCTCCTTAAACAGGGGCAATGGAACTAAACTTTTTCCAAATCTTAATTTCGCCTACGCTCAATAGCCAAAAGATGTATTATAAACCTCGGTAATTCCGAAGGGTCATCCCGAAGTCCCGCTAAGGGTAACAAACTACCGACGCACCGGACTTGGACGAACACCGTAACTCTTAGCAAAAACCCATGACCTCACGCCGGCTCAAGTGTCATCCCACCCCTGCAGGAGACGGCGTGCCAAGGGCGCATGGAAGGGGTGACCACGACACTTAGGATGCCGCTGATTGGGAAATTAACATTTTTCTAAACAACCAATCAGCGCGCATCCTCGATATGCCAAGGCGAGGAACTGACTAACGCAAAAGGATCAGTCAGTCGAACAACAACGTTCAAACAGTAAAACTACAGCTATCAAACAGTCAACTTCCAACTTTCAAACAGTAAAACCTTCTACTTCATCGCGACTCCGGGGAAGGGAGTAAGGAAGAAACAGATTAACATTCGGGCTACCAAACAATAATAACAGCTCTAGACCGTAAAACGTCCAGAGCACCCCACGCGTTCATAAGAAGGAAATAACTTCGATACATTCGCGACGCGTGGAAACACTTATATAACGTGTGAAATCATGCGAAATGAACACTTCACGCGTTCCCGGAACCTCTTCGGTGCATAGTTTAAAGATATATCTATTTCTCTTGACAGATTAATTTTTGTATATTCGACACGTTAAGACGTATCTTATTTTCAACATCATGAATCAAATATTTTGTCTTGCTAGATGAAAACAAATTTTTAAACATTATGTTATATTGGTGATTGGCATTACATGTCTTCCATTTAATTATCCCATGAAAAGTCGTAAATGTCTGTATCTTATATATTTCATTGTTCGAGTCGATTAAAGTATCCGGTAAAATTATCAAATTTGATAAGTTTTTATCTACTGTCTTCCTTGTCACCTTATGATATTCAAGTGAATCGGAACCAATAATAAAATAAAATAATTTAATGTTAGCCGATAATAACTCTGCACGGGACAAAAATAGACCACGCGCACGCACATGCCAAAGTCGTAAAGTAAAATCGACGTAATTACCTAAAATTCATTGTGCGTCATCAATAATGTTGTTACGTCCCTAGGATCGAACATCCCAAGTCAAGTGGGGGACTGGTTCATTTCTTTATGGCTAGCGCCCCTTGATTCGTGGACACTCGTTGTCATCCGGCCCCCACTTGGGTCAATCACTTACCAAGGATCAATAAATCACCATTGAGACGATGAACATAGTGACCCAATTTGTTTAAATAACCACCACCATCGAAGACGTTGAAGTTGATACATACCTGTAATCTATTCGCTACTATTCACTAAACTAAGTTATGATTATTATAAATCACTCAATATCACTCAAATTCTTTGCTCTATACTCCATACGTCATTAATCATCTTTGACAGCTAAACTATAAATATATCATTATAACTCTCAAGGTTGCAAGTGGACAGAAGAAATTCTTTTTTAATAATCTTAAGTAATTTCTAACGAATATATATTTATGTAAAAGATAGTTCTCAAACAAATATTTAGCACATATATTTTTAAGAACTATCTCTCGCATATTTCATCAAAATCGGTGTGTACTGGTTAGGTTAGGTTAGGTTAACGGGTTTAATATGGTCCCGTGTTAGTAGATTTGACCTAATTTTTATCGATATAAAAGTATAGCGTTGTAAAGCATACCAATTTCAACAGAAAATGCGATCACGCTAAAACGCATTTTATCCTATTTTCAAAGCTTTCGAAAAAGAAACCTGTGCAAGGCGCATATATGTGAAAACAATTTATACGTACACGGTATGTTACGTACCAATTTTCACGATTTTTCAAGTACTATGATAGTCTGACAAAAAAAATGTTTCAAA